AGCAAGTTGGGGTCAAGAAAAACACACAGGTCAATAACTTAGGTTACAAGTTTGTTCATTCATTTATCCTAGGAGGTCCTAAAGTGTGCACACCTATAACCACTCAGTAGGTTTCCATGAGCCAAGTCTTAAGACATCAAAGAATCCTGACTTCTGAGTACAGATTTCAACTTGCTGTAAAGTAATGGGTCATGAAGAATTTTTAACGTTCCCTTAACAAGTCCTCTGTAGCTAATTCAAACAAACTAGGTTTTGACTTGCTACTTTATTTGGGTGGGGAAGTTCTTGGTAGAGCTAAGAATTCTTTTCAGGAATTTTGCATGTAAACTATATTTTTGTGACTAAAGTCACAGATATGGATTCCGATAGGGTTGCTTTGAAAATCTCCAAATTAACCACAGAATTATCTATTTAACTTGGAAGGTTATGCCTTCAGGAAAACTTTCTGTTTAACTAAAGTGATTTATTTCTTAGGTTTCTGAGAATGGTGGCATCTCAAAGATGAGCTTATCACCTACAGTTTTTGTTTTGGTGAATGTTTAAAAACAAAGCAAAAACCATTTACATATGTATTTTATTTATACACACACAAACAGAAAACTCAGAATGGTCCTTTAGCATGTGAGCTAAAACATGAGTTCTGATTGCATTTGACTATGGACAATTCCCCCAACATTTACAAAAGCAGAGGAAATGTATCAGGCTATCAAATGCTCTTTTCTGATAAAGGAAGCAACTACAAAAGCTTTTATTTGTTCAAAGTAACCAGTGCTATAAATGCAAAACAAAGAAAACCCAACAACTCCCCCAAATACTATTTTCAAAGCCAACATATTAAACTTGATTTTCATCAGAATGCTGTTTTTGTCCACGCTGTTAAATCAAAACCAAGACCCGTATTATATATGTATATATAAATGATGTAAGTTATTGAGCTTCATCTTCTGGATAAGAATGCCAAGTTAGTCTCTCTTCATAGAAAGCAATTACAATCTGAGGACATTTCATATTTGCTTCTTTTTGCCAGCACCAAGTCAGCCTCATCTGAATCTTTCCATTTCATGAGAAACATCAATTCTCCACTACTATCCGTGGCACCAGTTATGCGTTCAGGATCAAGACCTCTAGCAAAACCTCTAGATTTGTCAGCAGCATCTCTTTTTTTCTTTGATTTGCTATCATCAGATACTGTCAGATAAAGGTTTTCTTTTTGTACCATCTTTTTCTTTACCAGCTTTTTGAGAATTAAGAAATGCTTCAATTAACTCTGGACAATTTAAATTTTCTTCAGGTTCCCATGTATTGTTAGCATCTGTAAATCCCTTCCACTTCAGAAAACACTCCACTTTTTCATTAACCACCTGTCGGTCCAGTACTTTTTCTACCACAGATTCTTCAGGTTCTGCTTCCTCAACCTTTTTATCTTTCCCATTTTTTGCAATGTAGTTTTATTGGAGGCCATTTTTTATCGCAGACTTGAGGAACTATTACACCTGCACGTGGTGATGGCACCAGAGGGTCCCTGGAGGGAAGGTGGGAAGGAGGGGGAACTGGGTGAGGACTGTGACCTCCACAGATTTGTTAAGGGACTGATGAGTTACTATTTCTGGGGGAAAAATTTTAAAAGAGCGTAAATTGGAAAAAACAATGATCTTCATTGCTGCAGTTGGTCATGAGGCCATGATGGATATTCAGTATCTCCATCCTCAGTCACCCATTTGAGATTATCCTCTGGCACCATTATCCTTGGTGGCTTGCCTGTGGGGCAGCCCAGACCTTCATTGCCTCGGGAACTGAACATATCTTTTCAAATTATGGTTACTAGGTTGCCACTTATAATGACCATATGTGGGTCCCAAGAGATATCCCAATGGATCCTTTATATCCCAAACATAGTTTTGCATGTTTCTATTATGAGGTTTTTTTTTTTTTTTTTTTGGTACTGGGAATTGAACTCAGGACCTTGCGCTTGCCAGGCAGGCACTTATGCCACTGAGCTATATCCCCGGCCCCTCTGTTATGAGTTTTAAATCCTACTTCCTGATAGTCTTGGCCAGGATGGTAACTCCTTTTTTTCCCTGATGGCCCACTGGTACGGGGAGCCCCTGATGGTCAAGCAGCAGCTATACTTTCTAGTGGGACTCTATTTCCTCTCCAGGATGACTCGTCAAGCTGGCACCTTCAGGGTGACAGGATACAATAGGTGCAGTGAGTCCTGTATATGCCTGTGTCATAAAGTGAATAACTTGGTGCAAGGAATGCATTTGGAACTCAGTGACAATAAATCACAGTTTGCCTTAGATAGTGGGCTTTGCTGAGACATTCCAGGCAGAAAAGGCAAAGCCCTACCAGAAATATCTGTTAATCCCTGCCAAGATGAATCACCACTCTTTCCAGGGTGGAAAGTATTGGATATAATTAACTTGGTACAACATTAACTTTTCCTGTTATTGTGGCTGACACCGAAGGCTTCTGCTGGCTGAGTGAACATTCACAGGGCAGGTATTGGAAGAGTTGATGATTCTGGTTGACATCATCTATGCAAGAGTTGCTGCCTACTTGGTGATTTAATGTCTTTCTTGAGGTGGCTGCTCAGGGTGAGCACTGGTATGTAATGCAAAACCCACATCCTGGCCTCCCATAGTTCTGTCCACATGACTCTTGCCAAGATCTCTCTGTTCCCATTTTTCTAATCTTACTCTTTTGAGACTGACCAAGTAGCAAAACAATAACAATTTATGGCTGGGGATATAGCTCAGTGGCACAAGCACCTGCCTAGCAAGTGCAAGATCCTGAGTTTGATTCCCAGTACCAAAACAAACAAACAAACAAACAAACAAACAAAAAAACCAACAAAAAACAAAAACCAATTCACACTGCCCAGGAATATATGTGTGTTCTCTTGGGCCCTTTTCTCTGCATGCAAAGTAGAGGACCAGAGATACAACCTGAACTTTTAGGGCCACTGCTATGTGTAATATGATAGAAATCCATTTTCATCTTGCACCTTCATGCCGTGTGGACCCTTTCTGGCTTTCCCTTCCCGTGCCAGCTGATTATAATGATGACTCTTTTCTACCTCCCATAAAGCTTCTCCATGTTCCATGGTCAGGGACCCAGCTGTAGCTTTTGTACTCCAGGAGCTGATATTTTAGGTAAGGGAAAAATGTATATTTGGCAGCAGATAGCTATAACTTTCTTACCAGAGTTATCCAGAGACTCCACCCTGTACCTTCATCTACTGTAGATATTTTTAGCCCCATAAGATCTGTTGAATCTTACAACATAAATGGTAGGTCTGATTGTAGTGTATTATGTGCCTGAAGCAGAGCTTTTCTTTTTCTCTAACCCTACTCAAAATCACTTGTCATATGAATCAGAGTGATATCCCAAGTTCAGACTATCTGCTTTTGAACCTGAAGAACTCACCAAGCACTACACTCTTCCTTAATGGCTGGAGAGGTAAGATACAAAAATATGCATGAGAACACTGGGCCAGTGGGACGAGGCCCAAGATCTTTGTAGAATATGTCTTACAACCTCTTCAGAACAATTTTGGACCAGTGTAATTTTGTGAAGTGTCCAGTGGAACTGTCCTATAACACTGTTGCAGCTAGATCTAGGAAAAGATCATGGACGCATATCATCATCTGTACCATATGAATAAAAGATGCTTCTGAGTCTCTTTCCTCATGGGGATTTATGAAAACCAAATGCACTAGAGCAATAGCTGTATTCTACATAGCAAGGGTGATGTTGATCTCTTTTAGGTAAAGACACCATATCTGGCACAGTATCTATGACTGAGGCTAAACGTCATTAAGTCTCAGGTGGTCAACTCTCATCCATCATGATTCGTGTTGATTTTGCAGATTCCAGACTTGTGAGTTAAGTGGGGGGCATAAAGGAGAGCCCTCCCACTACATCCTTCAAGTCTCTGAGAACAGCACTCATCGCTGCCTCTCCACACAGATTATGGGATTGTTTTTGATTGCCTGTGTTGAGGAGTCAGGGGGCAATTTCAGCTACTGGCATTTGGCCTTTCCTACCATGCTCACTGCTATTGTGATTATATGTTTAGGAACTAAAGAAATGATCACTTGGTAGGTCTGTACGACTATTGGACTCCCTGAGAGAAAGATTCCATTTATCACTGGTACCCTTCCCTTTATTTTAGTGGAGATGAAGTAATTGCTTTGAATCCCTTGGTCAGCTGTGGTGCTGTACCCAACAGTATCCCAAAGATATGGGTTCCCCTTACACCAATGCACTATTATTCAGAATTAGTGGTTGCTGGTGTTTAAATTTCCTGTGGCATTGTGGGGTTAGTCTTTGCTGAAAAGAATCTCTCTTCCAGTTGATGGGTCCAAGGACTAACATGGCGTGTAACTGTTCATCGATGTGATTACTTTTCATTTTATGCTAATTTTTATTCATTTTTGATCAATATCATTGATCAGTATCATTGGGAGCCATACATGTCTCTTGCCAATGGATATACCATGGTGTACTGAGCATCACCACACATTCCCATTAAGTCAAATTCCCTGGTGGTCATCTTGACCTTAGTGTCTACCTTTCATCTTTGATAAAATGTTGTGGAATACTTCTGTCCTCAGTGACTCCAGGGAGCCCAGCTCCATGACAAGTTCTATTATTGAATAGCTAGGAACAAATGTTCACACTAGAGCTTTTTAATGGTACCTCCTCAGTTCCTGTTTTTCCCACCTCCCCATTTCCTTTCTAACTCCTTAGTGAAGGAGGTTTCCTCTGGATTCTCTTCAGGAATATCACTACATATTGAAAACTGAGGGGCTGGGGATTTAGCTCAGCGGCACAGCGCCTGCCTGGCAAGCGCAAGGTCGTGAGTTTGATTCCTGGTACCGGAAAAAAACCAACATATTGAAAACTGAGATCTTATGTAATAGATCCATTAGAACATTCCACTTCTTCAAAATCGAAAGATCTGAATGCCTAATCTAACAAGGGTGCTTTCAAACTTACCTGTTATGGTAAAGACCCCCCCAAATATTTGAGAAGCTGTTCAGAATTTATTACAAAGTGTGAAATTTCTTATCTAGGTTTATATTTGTGCTACTTCCCTACTCACCCTTGGTTCAATACTGTTAAGGACCAATTCTAACTAAGCTTACGTGATTCTTGTGGGATCTTGTTGGTTGGGTCACTTGGTGAATAACCCTTCTCTTGGAAGGGCTAGCATTTTTACAGTTAGGCTCTGCTGAGACTTGATCCTGGTTATTATTTTGGTGGCCATTAGGGAAGGAAGGTGAGGGCAGATTGTGAGAAGAGGCAATGTCTTGGAATGGATTTGCCACATTTTGTGACTTCTGAACAGATGTGAGGCAGGCATGTCTAACAATATTCTAGAAAGGAATAGTAGACCACAGTAGGCAGAGAGAGAAACCAGGGGGATCTGAAGGTTCAGTGTTTTCGAGACACTGTCTCTATCTCAAGTCTCCAGGTCCCAGTTCTTTTTTTTTAAGACTTTGAGTCTGGCAAAGAGGACCTCAGTTTTCTCTTCTTTTTAATTTTGCTGCTCAAGCAATCAGACTGTAGGGCTCATCTTCAGCATGGTCTTCTCCCTATGTATAGGAAGGATGGTCACTTGAAACACTGCCAGTATCTGCTATTATCCATACTTTAAGTGAGTAATTGGCTGGCTTGAGTCTGTTATTTCTATCTTCAATTCATCAACAGCCTTCAGCAGCACCTAACTGATCCTGCAGATATTATCATTGCTATTTCCTTCAAATATGTACCTCAGATTCTAGATGTGTCAGTAATCTGGGGTATCCCTTTCACCTGTTAACAGTTCCTCAGACTTTTTCCTAGATACCTTTCATAAATCAGGGGTACAGCTTCAGGCTCACACAGTGACTTTCAGTCATGCGCTCACCTCACATGGGATACTCAGCCCTGCCCTGCTCCCCTTTGCCCACAGTATGAACGCAGCAGATTCTGACACTGTGTTTCCAACCCATCTCTTATCTTTGTAATGTTCACCTTGTTTTCAAAGATAGTTATGTCTATGGCCATACCACCCAGCATGCGCCTGATCTCATCTGAGGGTGGTTATGGATTTTACAGTTTTAAAACCTTATATTTCACCTCTCATAATGGCAAAGCCTCCAAACAGGAGCTTGCACCCAACCCTAAGTGGAATCTCACTCAGCTTTTTTCTATGTATACTTTAAAAAATGGTTCAAGCTTCTAAGGTAACTAATTGGTTATTGTGCTTTTTTGATATATGACCTTGTCACTATTTTGTGGTGGCTGTTTATTGCAACACTTCTTTGGAAGCCTCTAGTCCAGGAACTGTCCTAAGCGCTCTACAAAGATTGCTTCATTTAATTTTTACTGCATATGATCTCCGTTTTATTTTACTGATGACAAAATGGAGGCTCAGAAGGTAAACCACAAAATAACAGTCAGTGGAAAAGCAAGCGTAGAACCCGGACTTTATAACTCCAAGTCTAGCATTCTTTATTTTACTGTTTCTCTGATTCGTTTAGTCACCCATTCACTTACTTACTCACTTGAATATCAAATGCATGCTAGCCTCTGTGTATTTATTGCCCAGGTCTGTGAGTGTGGGGTCACTGTGGGGCTGTGGGATCCTTGAGCTTCTGAGAATTCCCGGGTGGAACCTGGGTCTTGGTAATTGGCAGAAGGGTCAAGAGATGCCATTTGTCCCATGGACAATTGTGCCAGTTACAGTAATTTAATGTTTCCTCTCTTGAGCCTGGGGCATGACTTGGTAGAGTTCAGTACAGTGTTTGAACTGAATCATAATAAGGTCTGTATTTGATTTTCAGCACATATTGACTGAAGTCCCACTGAGAGCTCTTAGACCTAACTCAGGAGGGGGCTACATCACTAATAATGGGATTTGTATACATCATTTCTCATGTGAGACTCATGAAGGGTTACCTGGAGATGTTGCTGATGGAGTGGCCGGCGCAGTGGTGAGACTTCTCACCCAGGAGACGGGAGATCATCCTCTGAAGTTTTTGGGCAAGTAAGCATGTGGCAAACACCTTGCCCAGTGCCTGGAGGTGGTAGAGCAGGCTGGCAGCATGGCCATTTTACACAGGATGAACCAGGGCAGCTTGTGTTCTTGGAGAGAAGCAGGTACTGGGCACTGTTTTGGGTTGGACCAGGTTAATGTTGGTGCCACAAAAGGAAACCTAGCACCCCGGACCTTTGAAATGAGGATGAGAAGAGGGCTATTGTGGGCTGATTGGGGGCACACTAGGAATATGATTTTATCTTTGGTTTCTGAAATAGAGCCTATGGCCAAAGCAGGTTTTGAGGTTAATGGAGTTGTATCCTTTACAATCAGATAAAGATAGGAAAGAAGATTCTTCAGCCTAAAGGAGCCTTCTGGTTTGGGCAATGCTAGGCACTTGCTGGGACATGTATCTGCCATCCAGCTAGGCACTTGCTGGGACATGTATCTGCCACCTGCAACTTAAAGGAGGAGAGGTTTATTTTGGCTCATGGTCAAAAATCTATGGACAGCTGGTTCCAGGGCAGACACAATGTGGTAGAGGGGCATATTGGAGGAAAGCTTGTTACATCAAGGTGGCTGGTAAGCAGAGAGAGAAGGGAGGAGCCAGGGAGGGAGATAGACCTTTCCACTGTGTACCCCAGTGACCCCCACTCCCGTGTTCAGACCACACCCTACTTTTTAACGGCACCTTCAGCTATGAACACATTATTGGATCAATCTGCTGATGAGTACATTGCTCCCGTGATCTGATCACCTCACCTCTGAACACACGAGGCTTCGGAGGACATTCCAGATCTAAACCATAAGGGGCAGGTGGGAAGTGATACTTTTGTTGATGTCCATATACTCTAGCCTCAGGAGGTCAGAAGAACAACAGGGACCCAGGACCCTGACTCACTGTTCTGGGAGAAAGCCTTCTCTGGCTTTTCTAGAGGTGGCTTCTGAGGGATACTGTTGCTCAGCACTGCACAGCCAAGCTGCGGCTGAGCCCTTCATATCTTCAGGGTCTCCAAGAAAGGGGGTCACACTAAGGGGCACGGCATGGACAAAGCAGTGGACCAAATGAGGTTTAAAATCAAGAAGGTCTGAGTATAAATCTACTTCTACCACTTAGCTAGCTCTGTGACTTTGAGCAAATTTCTTAGCCTCTCCTAGTTTTAATTGGCTCAGCAGTAAAATGGCGACAATGATAGTGACAGTCTCACAGTATAAATGCAAGGATTAACTGAGGTAATAAAGGAAAAATTCTTAACCTCCTGCCTGACACCAAGAAAGTGCCCAATAATCTCCAGTGGTTAGTTTCACTTCTTTCACTTGTGATTCTTGTGGGGGTTTTTATGTCATGGCATGACTATTGAATCGTCCTTCTTGTTTACCTGATAGAGGATATTGTCTCTCTATGGATCCTGCTACTGCCTTGCTCGGGACATCTGCAAAGACTGACTCTTAACACTGTGCCTGGGGGAGCCTCCATTGGTTTGGCCAGTTTCCCTCCCACTGCCATGTAGTAAAGCTCTCTGAATAAGCACTTAATCCTTAGGTGTGCTGACTGCCTGCACTATTTGTAGATGCCATTTTTTTGTTATTAGCATTATAAGGTGCTTAAGGAAGGCATGTGCTGGGAAGTGTTGGCAAATTTTTAACTGTGTTCTTGTGCCCTGCAATACCTTCTGCTATGAATGTGTGTTGTGATGGACAAAGAATTACAGAGTTCGCACAGGGGACGGATATGATGGGGTTAAAGCTTGCTCTTTGGTCAAGCAGATTTATATAAGGGCTGGCTATCAGTATGCCTCAAAAGTTAAGGTTTTCTAGAATTGGAGAATCAGGCTAATCAAGGAAATTACCAGCAGGTATTGGGAGCTCTGTGGTCATTTCCTCCTGAGTAAGGGATAATGTCTAATGGCTCAGCTGACCTGGGACTTCACTCTGATCTCAAGCAAGGACACATCTCTGGATCCCTTGTCCAAGTGGAATATACTAGGTCTCTTCTAGTTTCCTATACTAAAACCCGTCAAGAAGCTGACTGAGGTCTTGATAATGATCACAAGTCCAGGATTGGGCTACAGCACAGGTGGGCACTGCAGCCATATTTTGCCCTATCAGGAACCTACAGCAGGGGGCTCCTGCCATAAAACACATTGTACTGATGGGCCCAAGAAGTGACAGGGCATAGCCGTGTACTCCTGTGTGGTCATGACACAGCATGACAGACTTATATTTAGAGAGCCAAGGTATTCATTAGGATTGGGGAAGGAAAGGTCAGCTACACCTGCCCAAAACCCAGCCTAACCCTCCAGGGAGTTCTGTGGAATCCATCTTTCAGTGCTCAGGGAGGCCAGAATCTTGAGGACTAAAGTCCAATAGCTGTCCCATGTCCACAGAGGAAGGCCAGTTTCTGGCTGGTTGTATGTTAATAAAATGAGAGAATTCCTTCAATGTTTTTGGAAGTGGTCAATACAGGCATTGGCACTGACTGAACTTTTGGACTGCATGACAAGACCTGACTGTGTCCTACCTTTTGCTGTCAAACACCAGGGGATTCTGAAAGCCTATCTGAAAGCCAGTAGCCCAAAGCATGTAGGCTGGGGAGCGTTAGCTGGTTCAAACATTATACTCAGCCACCTGCTTACTGAAGGCCTGAGGAGCTGAGAGAGGTAGAGGGGGATGATGAAGGTGGGAGCAAGAAAGAGGCAGGAGGGTGAATGTCAAGAAGATCCAGGCAGCAGTGAAATGGTCTGTCTTTGGGACCCTAGGGGTGAGGGTCTGGGGGAGGGGACTCTGTGAGAGTGAACATCAACTTGATTTGCTGTAGGATCCACCCCGGGGGATTGGTAGAGCACACTTACGGATGTGTCTAGCTGGATCATAGAGGCGTGGTCTTGGGGTCTCTGTCTGGTTCCTCATCTGTTTCTCTCTGGCGCTGTTCCGTGTGTGGTTCCCCAGCTGCTATGAACTAAAGATCTTTGTTCTGCTGTGCTCTTCCACTGTGATGTCTCTGCCTTGGAGTCAGCTGATGTGAACTGGACCCTCTGAGACCCTGAAAGAAATTAAATGTCTTCTCTTCTAAATTGTGGGTGTCAGGTATTGGGTCCAGAAATGGGAAGGGATCGCTGCTCCTGACATGGAGTGGGGTGCTATTCACAGAGATGCTGCCTCAGACTGAGGGATGCACAAGCCTTGTTATTTCCAAGTGCCTGGAGTACAGATTCAGAAACCACGTTCAGTGAATCCTGTAAAGCCTGAGAGGAGTCCAGAAAAAAGAGAAAAACTCTCCTCATGGGTTCTAAGTTGGTGATCTCCTGAGAAGACAAGCAGGAGTGTCCCCTTAGCTGGTGAACATCTGAGTATAAAGTGCCTACTCAGTGTCAGATAAATAGGATAAATTTCAGCCCACTTTTTGAGAAAAGTAAAGATTTCCTTAAACAGGGCATAGGAAGCACCAGATGTAAAAGAAAAGATTGATAAAGCAAACTTCATTAAAATCAGGGGCTTCTGTTCTTCAAAGGCCATCACAGAGAGAGTGGAAAGGCAAGCCATAGACTGGGGAAGTGACTCATAACACTGTTCATGTACCGAACAAGGGAGTTTGCATCTGAGATGAGACCGTATGGCATTAGGCTGGAGAGCAGAGCTGACTCCTTCCTCCCTCTGTGACTGAGGGTTGGGGTGAGACTCTGAAGAGGTGGCTGTGCCTTCCAATGTGTGACCCACATGGGAAAGGTAGTCCTGAGAGCGGTTAGCCTGAGTGGCCCAGAGTGCCTGCCCCAGGAGCAGGCAGGTTAAGCCACTTGCTTAGTCATTGCTGGTAGGTGGGGAAGCTGCAACTCAAATCCAAATCTTGTGATTCCTCACATAAGACACGGCGGCTACCATCTGTGCTCTGTGATGGGGCTTATCGCTCGCTGTCCTTTCTGAGCATCTGCCAGCAAACGTGCTGCCTCTTCCTCTCGAGTCCCTTGCTCTTCCAGGCTGGTGGACATCTGTGTCTCTGTCCACTTCTCCTCTGGGGCCACTCCTCCTGCCCTCCTTCCAGTTGCTGTAGAGGAGCCAGGATTTCCCCAGCTGATAGGGAAGCCTTCTATGTGTGTCAGAGGCTCTGGCTGCTCTGGGTGTTAGTGAGTCTGTGACCTCACAATCGCTTGTATAAACCAGACTCTTCCTGCCACTCTCAGCCTCCTTCCCCCTGGGACACTGATGTGGATGAGGACAGCCCTGGAACTTCCTCCCCAGCAGGCACCTCTGCCAGCTTCCTGAGTCGGGTGTATGCATGAATCTTTGTGATAGGTCTCCTGCCGGCCTTTCCTGTATGGATCCCTGGGTACACAAGGGAAAGGATACTTTTTTTCCCTATACAGAACCTATGTTATAATGAAAGAGAGCATGAACAAGGCTAGAACACCAAAAGAAAACAACCCAGATTGTAGGGAATGCCATAAAAGAAGTAATCAGTCACATGAGGAAGAATAATGGTGGTGGCTGTGCTGGGGAAGTCAGGATAGACCTTTCGGAGATGGTGACATTTGAGCTGAAGCCTCTTCCCTGGGGAAATGCTGGAGAAGTGTGTCCCAAGCATCTGGAATAGCATGTGCAAAGGCCTGGGGCAGAACTGAGCTGGAAAATTTGGTGGCACAGAAAGACCAATATGTCTGAGCCATAGAAATGGAAGAGTGATTGATGAAACAGAGGATGTACTAGGGATCTTGTTGCCTATGTCTAGTAAGTCATGACAAGGGTAGTACATTTTATCCCCAATGTAGAAATCTATAGGAGAATTTTAAGTAGGGGAATGGAATGGTATGGTTTGCTGTGCCTTTATGAAAGATTACCTTGATTGCTTCATGGAGGAGGCATTGGAAGGGTCACCTGGTGCATGGACTATTGCAGTGGTGCTAGAGGAGGAAAATGGTGAATGGCTCCTAGGATGAGAGCAGTACTCTTAGAGAAGAAAATAGATTCTTGCTCCCTCATTAGCGTCTTTCCTGTTTCCCTTCCGTCCCTTTCCTCCAGTATCGCCCCTCCTCAACCTGTTGCACCACTTTTCTGCACACTCACTGAGATCCAAGTTCTAGGTAAGTTTCTGGGGTCCAGACCTCAGTCACAGCCAGGCTCTGCCACAAGAGCTTTGCCCCAAATAAGACTGTGAGTGCCAGCACCACATGTTACACCAGGCCTTCAGCTCTGCTCTTTTACTAGTTGCATAACATCTTGTCGGAGGGAGACACTGTTGAAATCACAATGGTGAAGCCACAGTAATAGCCTCCTCAATCAGTAATCAAGGTCCTCGCTCAATTTGGGTAGCAGCTTTATGTGGTAGTTTAATCCATTGTACACCAATTTCAGTTGTGCATTAATTACAGGCAGCTGAATAGTAATTAACTAATCACCATGTCACTCCTTTGCTGTTAGGAACAACCTCATTAATTCCAGTCTGCAAGGCTGCTGGTGTCTTTTGCCACCCCCTCCCCACCCTCTTTCTCTCTTTCTTTCTGGCTGCTCTTGACTTATAATCAAATATAAAGTCATGTATTTTTTAATAAGTTCTTGGCTGTTTTTGCCACTGAAAAATTCATGGCATTACACAGTCCCTTTAAATGATGTTTATTCATTATACTTTTTTATTTTAAAGAGAAAAAAATAAAATTTCAAAACAAGATAATAGAAGGGTAACAATGGTGTTATGGTTTATGTCTGTGTGTCCCCCCAAAGCCTCCTGCGGCCCTGGGGCAGGCTATTAGAGTTTGAATATGGGTGTGAGAGCTGCACCCTCCCGGGAGTGGATAGTTTGCATATGTAAGGGACAGGAAAAGAGTGCTTGGGGCATTCCTCCCCATTCCGCCCCGGGTGTAAGTTAGTTTTTGCTTAGCTGTGGCTGCTGTCCTGAGCTGCAGCTCTCTGCCACGTGCCACTCTGCCTTATAATTTGCCAAGTACGGGCTGAAACTTCCATGAACTGTAAGCGAAATAAACCTTTCCTTCCTTAAATTTGGGCGTCAGATATTTTGTCCCAGCAGCGAGGAAAAAAGTAACCGAGACAAATGGTTAATATATTGTGTATTGTTTTCTTTAAATTAGTTACTCAGTATAAGATATAGACATTTAATTGTCCAAACAATATTAGCACAAACCTTTCTCTTCAGTGAACTAAGAGAAATTAATAGTATAACTATCTTATATATATATTTGTTGTTGCTGTTTCCCCTTCCTTATTTTCTCCATTCTCCCATCCCAGTTTCTTTCCTTTTGAAGTTTCTTCCCATTTCACAATACCTCTTGTATGTTTTGGATCTTATTTACTCTTTCAGCTTCTCACACTAGGGAGACAATATGATGTTTACACATGCGCATCTGGTTTATTTCACTTATGAGCATGGTCTCGAGTTGCATCCATTTACCTATAAAAGTTTCCAGTTTACCCTTCTTCATGGCTGATTAGTACTCCATTGTATAGAAAGACAACATTTTTTTTTATCCATTCCTCAGTTGATGGGCCTTTGTATTGTTTCCAAGACCTAGCTATTAGAAATTGTGCTTCTATAAACATGGGTGCACATATATTGTGTGGTACAATGTTTTTAATTATTCTGGGAAGATACCCAGAAGAGGAATAGTTGGGTCAAATGGGACCTCCAATCCTAGATTTTTGAGAAATCTCCACACTGATTTCCACAGTGGTTGTACCAGTCTACATTCCCACAAACAGTGGGAAATTTAGCCTCTCCAGCATTTGTTATTTGTTGATTTCTTTCTAATAGCCATTCTTTCCAGGGTGAGATAGATCTTAGTGTTGTTTTAATTTGCATCTCTCGAATGACCAGTGATGTTGAACACTTTTTCGTATATTTATTTGATGTGTGTATTTCTTCATCTGGGAAGTATATATTAATTTCAGATGCTCATTTTTGGATTGAGTCTTTAAATTTTTGAGGTCTGATTTTTTTGAGCATTTTATATGTTCTTGATCGTAATCCTTTGTCTGAGGAACAGCTGGCAAACATTTTTTCCCACATTGTGGATTGTGTTCACTCTGTTGGTGATTTCTTTTGCTGTCAAAAACTTTTTAATAAGATGAGGTCCCAGCTGTGACAGCTCCTGTGTGATCAGAGTTTTATTCACTGCCTACACCAATTTTTGGCATTTTGCTATTGTTCTTTTTTTAAAAAAAATTTTCATTGTTGTTGTTTTTTGTTTTTGTTTTTTTTTGGTTTTTCTCCGGTACCGGGAACTGAACTCAAGACCTTGCGCTTGCCAGGCAGGCGCTTTTGCTGCTGAGCTAAATCCCCAGCCCCTAAAAAAAATTTTCTTTAAAAAAAAGAGTCTTACCTATTCTATCTTCCAGAAGATTTAATGTTTCTGTTTCAATATTTAGATCTTGAATCCATTTTGAATTTAGTTTAGTGCATGGTGAAAGATATGGATCCACTTTTAATCTTTGGCATGTGCAGAGTGAGTTTTCCAGCACCATTTATTAAAGAGGCTATCTTTCTTTCAGTGAATGTGTTTGGCACCTTTGTCAAAGATAAGGTGGCTGAGTATGTCTGGAGTTGTTTCTGCATCTTCTAATTTGTTCCATTAATCTTTGGGTTTGTTTTTTGCCAGTATCACACTGTTTTTATCAAAGTAGTTTTATAGTATAATTTCAAGTCAGGGATTATGATGCCCCCTGCCTTGCCTTTGTTGGCCAGAATTGCCTTTGCTATTCTAGGTCTCTTCTGGTCCCAAATGAATTTTTTTCTCCAGTACCGGGAACCGAACTGACGACCTTGCACTTGCCAGGCAGGCGCTTTTGCTGCTGAGCTAAATCCCCAGCCCCCCAAATGAATTTTAGAATAGTTTCCTCTAATTCTGTGGGATATGCTATTGGAATTTTGGTCAGAATTGCATTAAATCTGTATAATAGTTTTGGAATTATGGTGACTTTCACTATCTTGATTCTTCTGACCCAAGAACAAGGAATATCTTTCCATTTTCTGATATCCGCTTCAATCTCCCTTTTCAGAGTACTGTAGTTTTCTATGTAGAGATCTTTTGCATTCTTTGTTAATTTAACTCCTAGGTATTTCATTTTTTTGGATGCTATTGTGAAAGGTGTTGTTTCCCTAATTTCTCTCTCAGTGAGTTTGCTATTTGGGTACAGGAAAGCTAATGATTTTTGAGTGTTGACTTTGTGTCCAGCTATGTTACTGAATCTGCTTATTAAATCTAGAAGTTTTTAATAGAGTTTTTTGAGTCTGCTATGGAGAGTATCATGCCATCTGCAAATAGTCATACCAACTTCTTCCTTTCCTATTGTTATTCCTTTTATTTCTTTGTCTTATCTAATTGCCCTGGCTAAAGTTTCCAGGACTATGTTGAATAAGAATGGAAACAGTGGACATCTTTGTCTTGTTCCTGATTTTAGAGAGAAAGCTTTAATTTTTTTGTCCATTTGTCATAGGTGGCTTTTGTCAGATTGAGATAAAGACCATCTATTCCAATGTTCTGTAGGGTTTTTATCATGAATGGGTGCTGTCAAAAAGCTTTCTCTGCATCTATTGAGATGACCATATGATTTTGTCCTTGGCTCTGTTAATATGGTATATTACATGTATTGATTTATGTATGTTGAACCATCCCCACATCCCTGGCTTGAATGCCACTTGGTCGTGGTGTATCATCGGCTTGATGACTTGATGCATTCTGTTTGCCGGTATTTTATTGAGGATTTTTGCATCTATGTTCTTTAGGGAGATTGGTCTGTAATTCTCTTTCTTAGTTGGGTCCTTCTCCAGTTTTGGTATTGGGATAATGCTTGCTTCCAGGAATGAATTTGGAAGTTTTGCTTCCCTTTCAATTTCATTAAAGAGTTTGAGAAGTAGTGGTGTTAGATCTCCTCTAAATTTCTTGTAGAATTCAGCAGTGAATCTATCAGGGTATGGGCTTTTCTTTTTTTGGTAGGTTTGTAAATACATTTTGGATTCCATTGATTGATTTTGGTTTATTTAGGATTTTTATATCTTCTTGTTCAGCTTTGATAATTCATATGTAGCTAGGAATCTGTCCATCTCTTCTGCATATTCCATTTTATTAGAATACAAGTTTTCAAACTAGG